AATATTTCAATTAAACAAAATAATAAAATATTAATAAAAATAATAATAATAATGAGAATATCCTTTTATTTTCTAACTCCAAATACCAAATATCAATAATGAAATATATCTTCGGGTCTCCTAGCTTTTTGCTGAATAAACTCATTATTGAATTGAATTGAATATATATATAATATATAATATTTTCGACGTTGTTTCAAACAGACTGCAGAGTGTCAGCCAAACAGCCAACGAGCTGATTCTTCCTACACCACCATCATCATACTTAAATCATCATGAGACCACCATCTGAAACGTGCTGACTCCCACCACTGCCCACCTCTCATCATTCTGTAGACAATTTTTTTTATTAGCGTAGTAGTAAATGAATGTTAGAATCTTAAAAGCAAAAAATTATAAAATGGAAATAATGGCAAATAAAAATATTTGAAAATAATAAAGTAAGTAAAATGTAAAAAAACTTACCGTCGTCCATTCGACAAAGGCAGAATGTTGAATGCGGTCCGGTTCCTACGTTGTCCTCCAAAACTGGTGCCAGTCCTCCTCGAGATTGTTGTTGAAACACAGCCCGTGGAATTGAGAAAGAGAAGATTCTTATCAGAAAGCTTAGCGGTGCCTGCATCTCAAATTGCTTAATAAAAATAATCCTATCTACCTATTCAATTACCTTAACTAATCTATATTAAATTGTTAATGGTACGATAGTCGAAAGTCCCCCTTCATTAAAAAATTTTAAGTGGTTCTGTCCGGTTTTGTCAGAGTTATGGATATATATCCATAATATCAATTAAATACCAATTAAATCTTCTAATATTTTCATATTTTGGAGAAATTTTATGAAATATAATTTTCCTAAATCCATTGTCAGAGGAGTAGCAGAAATGAGGACTAAAAAATAAAGTATGCCAATGGAGCCAGACAGCCCTGCCAACTTTTCTGACGTTACATGAAACAAACATGGCGTTTTTTTCATTGTTTACGAGGTAATCTGGCGTTAATTTTTCCTCGCTAATTCTCCTAATTAAACTGAATTTTTTATTTTAGTAAAATTTATTTATTTTTAATATTTTTTTATTTAAAAAAAATTTTAAATATATTGATAATACTACTTTCAACACACTTTTTCGCTGGTTTCCTGAAAGGTAGAGAAAGTTATTTTATTTTAATTTTTAATTAATTATAATTAGTTGGTTAAATAATTAATTTAGTAATTAAATTATTTATGCAGTATGTGTGTATTGTTTGGTAATGTCATAAGAAATCTGACACTTTCTTACTTTCTAGTTTCTTTTCTAAAATTTTCCAAGTAAATTGAATAACTAAATTACTAAATAAAAGTGATTTTTAAATTAATTAAATATAAAGATATTGTTAAGTAAAAGGATTTATAATTGTTAATTCAATTATTCCCAATAAAAAATAATTGATAAATTGAAAAGTAAAAGTAAAACCTTATGTTTTACTAATTTTTAGTTTAGTTGCTAACATCAGGTCTAAATATGAATTTTTAATTTTGTAAAAAAAACTTAATCATTATTTTTTTTTTATAAATTATTAATTATCAATTAAATTTTCTAATATTTTCATATTTTATAGAAGTTTTATGAAATTTATTCCTTAGAATTAATGAAGAAAGAACAAATTAGTGAAATTGATATAACAAAACAAAACAATATAATAATTTTTAGCATCATCTTAATCTCCATTATTGTCCCAGAGTTCAAAATCCACCATTGCTTCCTCAACACCAAATCAACTTGTTCCTATTTCTTCTGCTTGTCAGAACCAGCAACAACAACAACAGCAGCAGCAATCAAGAACATTAATAACAACAACATTAGCAACCTCAACGAAATTAGTAACAACAACAACATTAGCAACTACAACTACTTTAACATCAATCCTGCCAACACCAATATTAACAAAGTTCTGGATTGCACCAACAACAACATTAACACAACCAGAAGTACCAACAACAACAACTGCAACATCTACTCTTTTAGAAACAGTTGAGTCCCCATCAACAACGACATCAAATACGGCTCAGAAGTCATCAACTAAAACGTCAACAGATTATACAGCCACGCAACCAACAACAACAATACAGTCTCAGTCATCAACAGCACTAATACCAATACCACATCAATCAGCACAGCTTGTAACATCTCAGTTTTTATCAACAACAACATTAGAAATAGATTTGATAACCTCTCAGACAGAGCAACAACAACAGCCAGCCAGAACGACAACGGAACAGCAACTACAAACATCGCGCATAACAGAATCACATTCATCAACATTAACGTCATTCATAACAGCAATAACACATCAGCCAACTACGTCCACAACAACCACAACAGCAGCAGCAGCAGCACACCCATCAACATCATCAACCACACCAATAAGAAGAGAACTTCTGAAATCTCAATCTTCATCATCAGGAACTACAACGGCAACAACACAAATGAATGGTCTGTCATTTAAAGAGCTCTGTTGTTTGTTTTGTTGCCCTCCGTGTCCATCTTCCATCGCCTCGAAACTCGCGTTCTTACCGCCTGAACCCACGTATTCACTAACTCCGTTGGCCGACGACAGTTTGAAGTATACACTCAACTTAACAGAGCGATCTGAATGGCAACATACATCTAGGGAACTGGAGTATATTGAGGTGTTTGTTTGTTTGTCTGTACTTTTATGTGTTTGTATGTTTGTTTGTATTTATGTTTGTATATGGGTGTGCATGCGTGTATGTGTGCATGTATGTATATTTGTATGTTGGTGTGCGTGTATGTATGTGTGTATGTTGGTGTACATGTATGTATGTTTGTATGTATGTGTGTGTATCGTAACAAACAGGTCTGTACAACGTCAACATCGCGAAACAACAAGATAGCGTGCATGTATGTGAAGACGTCACCGAGCGACAAGTTTACCATACTATTTAGTCACGGAAACGCAGTTGACCTCGGCCAGATGAGTAGCTTCTTTGTGGGCCTCTCCACCCGGATCAACTGCAACATCCTGGGCTACGATTACTCGGGCTACGGGGCCAGTAAGGGCAGGCCCTCTGAGAAAAATATGTACGCCGATATCGATGCTGCTTACCAGGTCTTGCTGTCTAGGTTGGTTGACAATAATGATGCTGGTGATGATGGTGGTTATGTTATCCACACACATACACACTCACACACATACATACATACATACACTCACATGCGCAAATCAACCCACACACACACACACACACACACACACGCACATTCCTACAGGTTTGTTGATACTGATAATGATGCTGATTATGACGATTATTTAGATGAATGATAGTGATTATGATAAAGATGATTGTGTTATCCAACAC